TGCATTTGTTTGTTTGTTTATTTGTTTTGTCTGTTTGTTTTTGTTTGTCTGTTTTTGTTTATTTATTTGTCTGTTTGTTTCTCTGTGCATTTGTTTGTTTGTTTATTTGTTTTGTCTGTTTGTTTTTGTTTGTCTGTTTTTGTTTATTTATTTGTCTGTTTGTTTCTCTGTGCATTTGTTTGTTTGTTTATTTGTTTTGTCTGTTTGTTTTTGTTTGTCTGTTTTTGTTTATTTATTTGTCTGTTTGTTTCTCTGTGCATTTGTTTGTTTGTTTATTTGTTTTGTCTGTTTGTTTTTGTTTGTCTGTTTTTGTTTATTTATTTGTCTGTTTGTTTCTCTGTGCATTTGTTTGTTTGTTTATTTGTTTTGTCTGTTTGTTTTTGTTTGTCTGTTTTTGTTTATTTATTTGTCTGTTTGTTTCTCTGTGCGTTTGTTTGTTTGTTTTGTCTGTTTGTTTTTGTTTCTGTTTTTGTTTACTTGTCTGTCTGTTTGTTTCTTTGTGTATTTSTTTGTTTGTTTACCTTTGTATTTGTTTGTTTGTTTTATCTTTGTATTTGACCGTTTGTTTTTGTTTGTCTGTTTTTATTTGATTATTTGTCTGTTTGATTGTTTGTTTCTCTGTGCTTTTGTTTGTTTGTTTCTCTGTGTATTTGTTTGTCTGTTTTTGTTTATTTATTTGTCTGTTTCTCTGTGCATTTGTTTTTGTTTATTTGTTTTGTCTGTTTGKTTTTGTTTGTCTGTTTTTGTTTATTTATTTGTCTGTTTTTGTTTATTTGTCTGTCTGTTTGTTTCTTTGTGTATTTGTTTGTTTGTTTATCTTTGTATTTGTTTGTTTCTCTTTGTATTTGACCRTTTGTTTTTGTTTGTTTTTATTTGTTTATTTGTCTGTTTGATTGTTTGTTTCTCTGTGCGTTTGTTTGTTTTGTCTGTTTGTTTTTGTTTGTCTGTTTTTATTTGTTTATTTGTCTGTTTGATTGTTTGTTTCTCTGTGCTTTTGTTTGTTTATTTGTCTGTTTGTTTTTGTTTGTTTGTTTACCTGCAGTCCTTCACCATGGAGACCTTTGCGGGGCCGGTCTTCTCCAGCCTGCGAGAGTCTTTGGGTCTGACAGAAGCTGAATATCAGGCGTCTCTCTGCTCAGAGAGCTGCTACCTGCAGTTCATCAGTAACTCCAAGAGTAAAGCTGACTTCTTCCTGACGTGAGTCTGACCCCTGACCTTTGACCCCAGCTGACCTGTGACCCCAGCTGACCCCTGGCTTTTGTTGTTCTTTTAGAAACGACAAACGTTTCTTCCTGAAGACTCAGAACAGAAGAGAGATCAAATTCCTTCTGAGCAACCTGAAGATCTACWTGGAGCACCTGAAGAAGTTCCCTCACTCTCTGCTCGTCAAGTTTTTAGGTAAAGGTTGAAGCAGCTTGTCTGTGAGCAGCAGGGGTCAAAGGTCATGTTTGAAAGTGACAGAAGTTAGATGTACATGTAAACACACAGGGCGGTGGGTGATCATGTAACTTCCTGTTTAAACTGAAACGAAAGGTTTTTGTTGGGTTTGTTTTCAGGAGTTCACAGGATCCAGATCCCTCGCAGTCAGAAGGTAAATCTCTCTGCAGCTGTTTGTCTCTGGTAGAAAAACAACAACAACAACAACATTTATTGTTGTTCTGCAGAAATACTTCATCGTGATGCAGAGCGTCTTCTACCCAGACGATCGAATACAGGCCAGGTGGGTCCAGCCCCACAACTCTGAGCCAGACCCGGGGTTCTGAGGGGTCTGATGGGAGTTCTGCTCTGTTCTGCAGGTACGACATCAAAGGCTGTGAGGTGAGCCGCTGGACAGAACCAGAACCAGAGGGGAGCCAGATCATCGTGGTTCTCAAAGACCTGAACTTTGAGGGACAGTTCATCAGTTTGGGTRAGGAGCAGCGCCCCCTGCTGGAGGAACCATCAAACAACAGTGGTCTGTGTGATGCCTGTGGCATTGAACTACAGACCTCTACTGCCTGGCTCTGAGCAGTCAGAGGGAACGAATTATTGGGGACCCCTTTATGGATCCTGAGAGACCCAGAATATTCAGTGTTTCTAACCTCGTGTCCTTCATCCAAGGGACGAAGGTTTGAATAAAGACCACTGTCTTTTTGGGGACAGGACAGCGATGGGCCCACTATGAGGCCCCCGATCACATGGGTTCTTTTTGCTGCACCAGGACACCAGCTGGTTCCTGCTGGTCTTTGGTGCAGACGCTGAAGAGAAGAGGACTGAGCACACGCCCCTGTGGTACTCCAGTACTGAGTGTCCAGAGGTGTCTGAGCTCTGTCTCCCTGGTCTCACCTGCTGTCTCCTGTTTGTCAGGAGTCCACAGCAGGTGAACAGGCTGAGCTGCAGTCCACAAGCAGAACTAATCCAGGTGGTTGTTGAGCTGTCAGTCACTCAGGAGGGGGCGGGGCTTTAGAGGAGCTCTTCCTGCTGATGGCCCACTAGCAGGGATTCTGTGTTTCTGAGAGGTTTTTAGTTTGTTGTCAGTAATCCAGGCAGCTTATCGGTGTGGTGTGTTTCTTGCAGAGCGCCAGCGCCCGTGGCTCATCCAACAGGTGGAGATCGACACCAGCTTCCTGCAGAGGCTCAACGTGTTGGACTACAGCCTCCTGCTGGCCCACCAGCCGCTGCACCACGACGAGCGGCATCAGAACCTGTCCTTCGCTTCGCTCATCGTCAGAACCAAGAAGTCAGTGTTTATTGTTCATTGTTTAGGATCCCCATTAGCTGGTCCATCATTAAAATTACTTACAAGAGTTACACACATATCAGTTCAATTATTAGTTACASTTCATATAGAAAATTTTTACATTTATTTAAAAAATACAATAATTAACAATAATACACCAATAATAATAAAATAATTGTAAAAACTATAATTAATGAAATAGAGAATTTGCATTTCCAGTGAAAATGCTAGTAATAACACAGTAATATAAAAGGTACTGGGATACAGTGTCCCAAAACAATATACTGTGATGTTTTTGGGAAATATAACCAAAGTAGTACAGGGAGAGGACCAATATCTTGCTAAGATCTTATTAACTGCAGTAAAAAAAAAAAGCCAGAACAAGACGTTGGCTCAAACATACAGCACTGGACCAACTGGACCAACATAATACAGGACAGATCTCAGAGGGAAAAACTAACTGTAAACACTGTGAGGTTAAGAAAATCTGATTACAAAAAAAATGTAAGAAGTTGATTTGTTTTTGGGCTTCGGATGACTAATAACTAGTTTTGTCATTGCCAATTTCATAGTATTATAAGAAATGTTTAAAGTAAATATCTGATGTCTTTCTGTTCCAAAACTCACTGGATGAGATTCACTGAGTTCTTTAAGGCTCTGGATGTTGTGTTGGTTGATGCGACTCTACAATATCGCGTGGACATCAGGGACAGTTCCCCTGGACTGACAGACTGGGGTGGTGGTCCCCCTATTTAAAAAAGGGGACCACCAGGGACTCCTGTGGGGGGGACTCCAGGAGTATGGGGTACCAGGCCTGTTGATACGGGCTGTTAGGTCCCTGTAGGACCGGTGCCAGAGCTTGGTCCACATTGCCGGTAGTRAGTCGGACTYGTTTCCKGTGAGAGYTGGACTCCACCAAGKTTGTYCTTTGTCACCGATTCTGTTCATAACTTTTMTGGACAGAATTTCTAGGAGCAGCCGAGGTGTTGAGGGGATCCTTTTTGGTGACCTTAGGATCACATCTCTGCTTTTTGTGGATGATGTGGTCCTGTTGGCTTCATCAGATCCTGATCTCCAGCTCTCACTGGAGCKGTTCACAGAAGGATGAGGATCAGTGCGGATGAGGATCAGTGCCTCCAAATCCCAGACCATGGTCTTGAGCTGGAAAAGGGTAGAGTGCCTTCTCCGGGTCAGGGAGGAGGTCCTGCCCCAACTGGAGGAGGTTAAGTATCTCAGGGTCTTGTYCATGAATGAGGGAAGAATGGAGCAGGAGATMAACAGGTGGATTGGTGCTGAGTCTGCAGTGATGTGGGTGTTGTACCGGTCTGTCGTGGTGAAGAGAGAGCTGAGCCAGAAGGTGAAGCTCTCAGTTTACCAGT